TTGCTAGCTTCTCCACTGTCTTACCGTGCCCGGCAGCCCCCTCTGGCACCCTGTCAGGTCTCTACCTCCCCTCGTTCTCTACGAACTTGGTGAGTGGAGCTGATCTACAGGACAGGGGGGTTGACCAGTTCACTCCTGCGAGTCAGCGGGTGACCAACTGCACGTGTGCTCGGACAGGCCGACACCTGGCCACGTTCACCCGTCGGCCGGGGTCGAGCCTGTACACACTTACTACTGAGTCTCCTCCGGCTACTGAGTCTGGTCAGGTAGCTGCGTCGAGTCAGGTGCTTGCTGCAGCGTCCAGGTCTGGTCCTGAGTCTGCTCCCTGCTCGTGTCATCTCCTGTCCCACCAGACTCTCCTTTGGCACCACCGCCTTGGTCACCCCTCCCTGCCTCGTCTCCGAGGCATGGCCTCCCGTGTCCTTGTCTCTGGTCTCCCCCGGTCTCTCCCTCCCCTACCTCCGGGGCCTGCCCCTACCTGCGTCCCCTATGTCGAGGGGCGACAGCGCGCCGCCCCTCACTCCTCCGAGTTTCCTCCGACAGAGGCTCCGCTGCAGACTCTTCACATGGACGTGTGGGGCCCCGCCCGCGTCCGTGGCCAGGGGCACGAGCGTTACTTCCTGTTGGTGGTTGACGACTACTCGCGTTACACCACAGTCTTCCCCTTGCGCAGCAAGGGTGACGTCACTGAGGTGTTGATCGACTGGATCCGCGCGGCTCGTCTCGAGCTCAGAGAGAGTTTCGGCTCCGACTTTCCTGTTCTGCGTCTGCACTCTGACAGAGGCGGGGAGTTTTCCTCTGCCCGTCTGGGAGCCTTCTGTCGAGCACAGGGCATCCGCCAGACCTTCACACTTCCGGCCTCTCCACAGCAAAATGGGATTGCTGAGCGCCGCATTGGCATGGTCATGGACGTCGCTCGTACGTCCATGATCCATGCGGTTGCCCCCCATTTTCTGTGGCCGTTTGCGGTTCAGTACGCAGCGCATCAGCTCAACCTTCAGCCCCGGGTCTCCTTGCCAGAGACTTCCCCCACCTTACGGTGGACGGGGAAGGTTGGCGATGCGTCTGCGTTTCGGGTCTGGGGATCTCGGGCGTTTGTCCGCGACTTGTCTGCGGACAAGCTGTCCCGCCGTGCTGTTCCCTGCGTCTTCGTTGGCTTCCCCCCTGACGCGCCTGGTTGGCAGTTTTACCACCCCACCTCGCGCCGTGTTCTGTCCTCCCAGGACGTCACCTTTGACGAGTCGGTGCCTTACTACCGTCTCTTCCCCTACCGCACTGCGCCCCTCCCCCCGCCGCCGCTCTTCCTTGCGCCAGGTCCTCCCCCGGTAGACCCCCTCCCCCCTCAGGGTCCTGCCCCGTCAGGTGTGTCCCAAGTAGACGTAGTCGAGCCTGTCGAGGTAGCTGCTGACTCCGGTGCTGCTAGAGGTGCTGCGCCTGTGGGTGCCGGGTCTGGAGGTGCTGAGCCTGGGGGTGCTGAGTCTGGGGGTGCTGAGCCTGGGGGTGCGGAGCCTGGGGGTGCGGAGCCTGGGGGTGCTGAGCCTGGGGGTGCTGAGTCTGGGGGTGCTGAGCCTGGGGGTGCTGAGTCTCGGGGTGCTGAGCCTGGGGGTACGGAGCCAGGGGGTGCTGGGTCTGCTCGTGTGGCCCCTCGCGGTGCCTCGTCGAGGCGAGAGCCACTCTCTCCGCAGGAGCTGCGCGAGTGGTTTGCCCGGCGCTGGAGCCGTGCTGCTGGAGCTGGAGGCACTGCTGTTGCTGCTGGTCCCGGAGGTGCTCGTCCTGGCGGTACTGGTGCTACTGGGACTGGGGGTGCTGCTGGGGCTGCTGGAGTTGGTGCTGCTGGAGCTGTTGGTGCTGCTGGAGCTGGAGCTGCTGGGGGTGTTGGCGCTGGTGGTGCTGCTGCCGCTTGTGCTTCTGAGGGTGCTGGAGTTGGCGCTGTTGGAGCTGGAGGTGCTACTGGCGCTGGTGCTGCCGCTGGTGGTACTGCTGCTGTCCCTGCTGTTTCTGGAGGCGCTGCGCGGCCGCGGCCGTACTTCGTTCCACTCCTTGAGCAGGTTCTTGGTCTTCCGCCTTCTACTGGTCCTGCTCCTCCCTTCGAGTGTCCGCCGCCTGTCCAGTCGCAGTCACAGTTACAGCCAGCCTCCCCTCTACCTGCTCCTTCTCCCTACACTGGTCCTACTGGAGGTCTTGCTGAGCGTCGTGAGCCTGCGTCTCGTCCTGCGTCGCTTGTTCGTGCTGCTCGCACTAGTCGTCGTACTGCGCGTCCGCGTCCTCCTGCGGTCCCCGGCACACACCAGATGGCACTGCGTCCTTCCACTGCTCCTCTGCGTGTCCCGTTGTCGTCTCCTCCAGAGTCCTCTCTTCCTGTTCTTGCTGACCCGGAGTCAGACTCCCTTCGTGCTGCCAGTCCTACTGTCACGCGTCTCCTGGCTACTGTTGTCACTGACCCTTCCTTTGAGTCCACTGCTGCGTCTGCCTTGGTTGCTGAGCTTGTCGACTTTGCTGCTCGCTGTCGTCTAGACTACGCTGCTAGTCTCGTTGCTGAGTCTGCGTCTGTCTGTCCTCCGTCCGTCGGGGGTGAGTGTGCTCTTAGCACGGACGTCCTTGAGGACAGGCAGGAGGAGTTCCAGTGTTTTGCTGCTGCTTTGCCTCATCTCGTGTCCACGCAGATTGCCCCTGAGGGAGACCCGGATGCACCAGACATCCCGACTCCTCGATCGTACGCTGAGGCGATCGAGTGTCCCTACTCCTCTCAGTGGCAGTCAGCCATGGACGCAGAGATGGCTTCCTGGAAGTCCACAGGCACCTACGTCGACGAGGTTCCCCCACCTGGGGCGAACATCGTCAGTGGCATGTGGATTTTCAGGGTGAAGCGGCGGCCGGGTTCTCCGCCTGTCTTCAAGGCGCGTTACGTGGCTCGAGGCTTCAGTCAACGGCAGGGAGTTGACTACTTTCAGACCTTCTCTCCCACCCCGAAGATGACCACTCTTCGGGTGCTGCTGCACATAGCCGCTCAGCGCGACTACGAGCTTCACTCTCTTGACTTCAGTACAGCTTTCTTGCAGGGCAGCCTGCATGAGGAGATCTGGCTGCGCCGCCCACCTGGCTTCACTGGGTCGTTTCCTCCTGGTACCCAGTGGAGCCTCCGGCGGCCAGTCTACGGTCTCCGCCAGGCGCCCCGTGAGTGGCACGACACACTGAGGACTACACTTGCGGCTCTTGGGTTTGCTCCTTCTACTGCTGACCCGTCGCTGTTTCTACGCACCGACACCTCTTTGCCGCCGTTCTACATCCTCGTGTACGTCGACGACTTGGTCTTTGCTACTGCTGACACTGCTGGACTCGCCCACGTGAAGTCCGAGCTGCAGAAGAGACACACGTGCACAGACCTGGGTGAACTGCGCAGCTACCTTGGCTTGCAGATCACCCGGGACAGAGCACAGCGCACCATTACCCTGACTCAGTCACACATGGTGCAGCAGGTCCTTCAGTGCTTCGACTTCACGTACTCCTCGCCTCAGGCCACTCCTCTGTCTACTCGCCACTCGCTCTCAGCTCTGCCTTCGGATGAGTCCGTAGAGCCGAGTGGCCCGTACCCAGAGCTTGTTGGCTTCCTCATGTACCTGATGACCTGCACACGACCTGACCTTGCATACCCTCTTAGCATCTTGGCACGCTATGTTGCTCCTGGGAGACACCGACCAGAGCACATGGCTGCAGCGAAGAGGGTGTTGCGCTACTTGTGCAGTACGTCGGGCATGGGGCTAGTGCTTGGAGGGCGACGTCGAGTGGTCCTCACAGGTCACGCAGACGCTTCTTGGGCTGACGACCAGGCTACGCAGCGGTCGTCACAGGTTTACACCTTCAGCCTTGGCTCCGGCTCTGTTTCGTGGCGGTCTACCCGCTCGTCTTCTGTTCTCGGCTCTAGCTGTGAGGCTGAGATCTACGCGGGGGCCATGGCTGCACAGGAGCTACGCTGGCTCACCTACCTGCTGACTGACCTAGGAGAGCCGCCTCGTTCTCCTCCAGTTCTGTACGTAGACAACAAGGCCATGCTGGCCTTGTGTCGGGAGCACAGACTGGAGCACAGAACGAAGCACATTGCTCTTCGCTACTTCCTTGCTCGTGAGCTGCAGCAGCGTGGTCAGCTGCGCCTTGCTTACGTGGCCTCTGAGGCCAACACTGCTGATATCTTTACCAAGGCACTTCCGCCTTGTGATCATCAGCGCTTCTGTACGATGCTAGGTCTTGTGCCTACTTCGCCTCACTTGCTCACTTCTTGACCTTGCTTGTACTGTGATCTTTCTATACCTGCACTTGCTTGTTTACCTTTATATATGATCTTGCATGTGAACTGGCCTTGTGGCCTTGCTCTTGTGCTCGGACTGTGTGGTGACGTTGTGATCCACCCTGAGCTTGCTTTGCTTTGCTTGACTGGTCTTGTGACCCCTTGTTCTCCCCCACTTTGCCTATGGGGGTGTGTCAGACTTATATGACTTAGCCTATGTAGGCTATAGTGGGGTAGCACATATGGGGTACAACACAGTTCTAGGGTTTGTACTTGTACCCAACTTTTCCCTTAGTCATTTCATTCCTCAATTTCTTTCACATGGAGCACGAGGACGCGCAACACGACGAGCACGAACATGTGTGGAAGCACGAGTCTCAGGCTCACGACGTTCAGTCAGGGACTCAGTGAGCTCTGTGCGAGGAGCAGGAGCAGGCAGCGGGGAGCCAGGCAGTAGCTGTGGCTGAGACTGGTCAGTCGGTGGGAACAGTAGCGTAGGAGTACTACCAGCAACCGGGAACTCAGTAGCAGCAGGCGGGAGACTGAGAAGGCAACGAAGCGCAGACGGCTGCGGCTGAGTAGTCACACCCCTAGAACCTCGAGCTCCAGTAGGAACAGCACCCCCAGAACCAGTACCTCCAGCTCCACCACCGGGACTCCTACTGACTAGCACCACCAACTCCAGTACCTCCAACTCCAGGGCCAACAGCACTAGCACCTACAGGGCCAGTATCTCCAGTACCTCCAGCCCAGCACGTCCAGCTCCGCCACTGGGGCTGCCCCACCGGACAGCCCACTCTCGAAGCTGCTCCGGCGAGAGAGGCTCCTGTCGACGCGAGACAGGAGCACCCGCAACAGCACTCACAGAACCAGTACCTCTGGTACCTCCAGTAGAACCACCGCCTCCAGCACGGTCAACTCCAGGAACACCAATATGAGCACCTCCAGCACCAGCAGCTCCAGCACCTCCAGCACCAATAGCCCCAGTACCTCCAGCACCTCCACCGCTAGCACCTCCAGCTCTAGCACGGCTAGCTCCACAACGAGGGCTGCCCCAACGGACAACCCACTCGCGAAGCCGCTCCGGCGAGAGAGTCTCCTGTCGACGTGCACCAGCACCACCAGCACCTCCAACCGCAAAACCTCCAGCACCCCCTGCACCCGTAGGACTCGCAGCACCCCCAGAGCCAGCACCCCCAGAGTCCGCACCCCCATTGTCACCTCCTCCAGCAGCACCACAGTCTGCAGAGGTGGTGAAGACGGTCGAGGTGGAAAAACAGGAGGGACTGCCAAGCGTGCGGAGCGGCGAGGGGTCACGGTGTCGGCAGCAGTCTGGTCACCCCCCTCAGCTGGGCCAGAGGTGTCTAAGGAAATCTCCAAAAGCTCAACCAAGGGGGGTGGGTCTACCTGAGACACACCTGAGGGGGCGGGACCGGGAGGAGGGAGGGGGGATACCGGGGGGGGCTCGTCCACCAGGGAGAGAGGCGGGAGGGGTACCGAGGAACTACGATGGTGGTAAAGACGGTAGAAGCATACAGACTTGTCAAACATGACGTCGCGGGAGGACAGCACACGACGAGAGCCCGGATGGTATAACTGCCAGGGCGGTGAGTCGCTGGGAAAGCCAAGGAACACGCACCGAAGAGTGCGTAGAGAGAGCTTGCCCGCGGGAAAATCGCGGACAAGAGAGAGGAAACTCCAGACCCGAAACGCCGACGAATCACCAACCTCGCCCGTCCACCGCTTTGAGGATCTAGGATCAAGCTCAGAAAAGAGAGTTGTGAATTGAATGATTCACCTGGGTACAGCACGATGCTATATATAGTCTTGACACAAGGCCAGTTACCCAGGTGTTACGCGAATGTTCTGAGGGTCGCGAAGCGCCCCGAACAGAACCTTCCGAACTCAGTAGAAAGCAATTCGGTGGAAACCGAATAGCCTTGAGTTCGGTACACGTAACCTGGTTCGGTGCTATAACTATAATAAAATATAGGAATGCACCTAACATAGGAAATCAAGCATATCTATGCATGATAATTAAAACCCAATCTAGATATAGCATAATAAACTCCAGGCAAGCTAGCAAAGCCAGCATAAGCCGTCGTACTCTCACACGTCCCCCCCTCAAAGCTGGGTAGCGTGAGATAAACCCTGCTTGACAAGATAGTCCTTGAGAGCACGGCGTGCGTTGCCCATATCAGCTTCTGCAACCCGACTGTCCTCAGTGGGGTCGTATCCCTTCCAGCGTATCAGGAACTCGAGGGTCTTGCCGCCGCGACGTCGATGAGTGAGAACGCGCTCCACTTCGTACTCGGGTTCATCCTGTATGAGAACAGGTGGTGGTGGCGGTAGCTGCCGTCCCTAAAACTGTTGGTTGGGGTCCTTGTAGGGTTTCAGTAGCTGGACATGGAAAGCGTTATGAAGCTTCCACGTATCTGGTAAGCGCAAGTGGAATGTTACCGGTGTCACCTGTGCCTCAACGAGAAAAGGACCACAGAAGCGAGGCCGGAGTTTGGATGGGAGGTGAGACAGGTTCAAGTTGCGCGTGTCAAGAAGCACCTGATCTCCGACTGCTACGGAGTGATCTCGTCGCTGTCGATCGGCATACCGCTTGTGGGAGGTCTGCATCGTGGTGAGTCGTCGCTGAGTCTTCTCCCATAGCTAGTGCATGGTGGTGACGAAGTCGTGTGCGGCTTGGACATGTGCCGGCGTGGTTGGCTGCTGTGGAGTGAGTGGTTCCCGTCCGTAACACAGGAAGAAAGGAGTTTTCCCTGTGGCCGCATTTGACGCGTTGTTGTAAGCGAACTCTAGGGTCGGTAACTGTATGTCCCAGTGGCTGATGTTGTCCTTGCAAGCTGTGCGCAGTAACTGTTCAACCACCTGATTGAGTCGCTCTGTTTGTCCGTCAGTCTGTGGGTGGTATGCTGAGGACATCGCAAGTTTGGTCCCCAATAATCCCATGAGCTCCTTCCTGAACTTACTGGTGAATTTGGGGTCTCTGTCTGAGATGAGTGTAGCGGGAATGCCGTGGATGGTGATGATGCGGTCGAAGAATAGGCGAACAGTTGCTTCAGCTGTAGCTGTGGCGTTGGTCGGGATGAAGTGTTCCATTTTGGAGAAATTATCGATCACAAGGATGAAATCATGTCCCCGTGAGGTCGAAGGAAGTCCTGTGATGAAGTCGAGGCTAACGACCTGCCATGGCTGCTCCGGTACGGGTAGAGGCTGAAGTAACCCTGCTTTTTTCTGCTTGCTACTCTTCATCCGCTGGCATGTGTCGCATGAGGTGACAAACTGCTGCACGTCTGCTGCCATCCCGGGCCAGTAGTAAAACTTTGCTATCCCTGCTAACGTCTTGTTGCTCCCGAAATGTCCCGCGAATGGTACGTCATGAAATTCCTCCAATAGGATCTGCCGTAGCGGGGCGTAATTCGGTACCCAAATCTTTCCTGAACCCTTCCTTACCGCTAAGTCTTTCTCCCACTGTAACAGCTTCTTGGTCTGTGCTGTAGTGATCTCTGCGTCCACGGAGTACCCATGTTGGAATAGACCCTTGAGCAGACGGTTCATCCCGTCGAGCTGGATGCCTGCTACATGTCCTGGGCGGCTCAACGCATCTGCTTTGTTGTGTAGCCCGGGCTTGTAGACGATGTCGTAGTGGAAGTGAGTTTCCAAGATGTCCACCCACCGCACCTGTCGTCGTGAGAGCGTCGACTGCGACTTCAGGTATTTGAGACTGCAGTGGTCAGTATAGGCTGTAGTCTTGGCTCCCTCTAGGTAACACCTCTACGCCTTGAAGGCTACGACGATGGCTAAGGCTTCCTTGTTGTGTATGGGGTAGTTCAGTTCTGCTCCGTGTAGCTTCTTACTGAGGTAGGCGATAGGCTGTAAACCGTTCCCATGATCCTGCATCAGTACTGCTCCGACTGCCTGGTCACTAGCGTCTGCTTCTACTACGTAGTCCTTGTCTGGATCTGGTAGGATGAGAACTGGCGCTATAGTCAATGCTGTCTGTAGCTGCTCCATGGCTTGCTGATGAGGAGTATCCCATTTGTAGGGCGTACCCTTTATCAGTAGGTCGGTCAGTGGCGCTGCTATCTTAGCGTACTGCGGCACGAACCTGTTGTAGTAGTTGGCGAAGCCTAGAAACTGCTGCAACTCCTTCACGTTCTCCGGTACTTTCCACTTCTTGACGGCTTCGATCTTCCGCGGGTTCACGTGTACGCCCTCGGCACTCACCATGTGCCCGAGAAACTGCACTTTCTTCAGGGCGAAGTCGCTCTTTGACAGCTTCACGTAGAACTTGTTTTTACGCAGGATCTCGAACACCTTCCGCAGATGCTCCACGTGCTCCTTCATGTTTTTGGAGTTTTAAGAATGTCGTCCACGTACACCACTGCGCACTCGTCCAGCAGGGGTCGTAGGATATGATTCATCTCCGCCTGAAACGTTGCTGGTGCGTTGCAGAGTCTGAACGGCATCACCAAGTATTCGTAGGAGCCGTATCTGGTACGGAATGTCAGAATATTATGCTCTAGCCTGTAGTGGGGTGCTCTATAGCGAGTACAACCCTTCTAGGGTTTGCTATTTGTATCCTCATTCTTGCTAGTGCAACCCTCCTTCTTCTTTTTAAACTTTCTCATGCTATCAGAGCAGGTCGATCCCCTTGGATCGATCCTGTGGGTGGGCTCACCACCTCGTTGCTTCCGCTGCAACTTCCACTACTACCTTCTGTGCCGCACGCCCCGTGGCGTGCGGCAGTTTTTCTTCCCGCCGTGCGCCCCGAGGCGCGCGGCGGTTTTCTGCCCGCCGTGCGCCCCGTGGCGCGCGGCGGTTCTCTGCCCGCTGTGCGCCCCGAGGCGCGCGGCGGGCTTCTACCCCGTCACTCGCCGCGTCGCCCTCGGGAGGCGCTGCGACGGGCGACGGGGACCCGCGCGTCGCCCCCCGTCGCCCGTCGTGGCCTGCGCGCGGCCCGTACAGCCGGCGCGCGGCCCGTACGGGCTGCGCCAGGCCTGCGCGCGGCCCGTACGGGCTGCGCCAGACCCGCGCGCGGCCCGTACGGGCTGCGCCAGGCCCGCGCGCGGCCCGTACGGGCTGCGCCAGGCCCGCGCGCGGCCCGTACGGGCTGCGCCAGGCCCGCGCGCGGCTCGGGCCGCCTGCGCGCGGTTCGGGAGGCTGTGCCAGGCCCGTGGGCGGCCCTTTCCTCGCTGCCCCTGCCCTCCCCGCTGTCCCCCGTGCTTCTGCTGGCGCCCCACCCCTCCTACAGCCCGTTCTCCTGAATTAGGGTTTGGGGGTGAGGGGTATGGGGGTGAAACTACTGTGTGCCGTTCCCTGCTCCTCCTCCTCCTCCGTCTCCCTGTGCTGCAGCTGCCGCTGAGGGGGGGTGGACTTGTTGGAGCCGTTGGAGTGGTGCTAAGGGGGGGTGAAGGGGGAGTGGAGCTAGCGGTGTAGCAGCGGGTGTGTGTCAGGAGGGGTGGTACTGTTTGGGGGAGGTCGAGTGGAGGCAGCAGTCTTGTCGTCAGCAGCAGCAGCAGTCCGGAGGCTACAATCTCCGGTAGTCGCCAGTCGCCCGTGGGTCCGTTGCTTGTCTGCCGCTACTTTTAGCCGCGGGGCCAGTTACCCCAGTAGTCCGGAGCGTTGTTCCGGTAGCCACTGAGCCAGCAGCTCGTCTGTGTGTCTGCAGCGTCAGCAGTCGCCTCCCATCTTCTCTCCCCCACAGTCTCTCCTCCTCCTCACTTGCCCTCTGCGATAGCCTCTAGCTTTGCTCATAATTGTGAACTTTAAACTATTGCTTCTTGAACTTGTGCTCAGAATGTGTGGTGACATTGTGATCCACCCTGAGCTTGTACTGCTGTGCTTGCTCTGCTGATTACACCCCACTTTGGCTATGGGGGTGTGTCAGAATATTATGCTCTAGCCTGTAGTGGGGTGCTCTATAGCGAGTACAACCCTTCTAGGGTTTGCTATTTGTATCCTCATTCTTGCTAGTGCAACCCTCCTTCTTCTTTTTAAACTTTCTCACGGAACGCCGTCTTGTGAATCGGGTTGTCCGCCATCTTGATCTGCCAACAACCCGGCCGTAGGTCCAGCTTCGAGAATATTGTTGCTCCGCGCAGTTGATCCAATAGGTCGTCTATGTGCGGTATGGGATATTTGTTTTTAACTGTCTGTTTGTTCAGTGCGCAGTAGTCAATGCACATCCGTAAACTTCCGTCTGGTTTTGGAGTGAAGAGAACTGGTGCATCGTAGGGAGAGGTGGATGGGCCGATCAGTTGTCTGTCCAGTAGATACTCTATCTGTTCCTTCATGTCTGTCAGTTCGGTCGGACTCAGTCGGTATGGTGCACGTTAGACGGGTTTCGCACCTGGTTCCTCCACGATCTCGTGCTCGTGGGTGCGTGCTGGAGGTACGCCTGCAGGTACGTCGTTAGGCATTATATCCTTGTACTGCTCCAAGACCTCTTTTACTGCTGCAGGTAGCTCTGTGTTCGGCTTCTCCTCCTCTGCTGCTGCCATCACCAGTGCTAAGTAGCCCGTGTTAGTCTCGTTCAC